TGTGTGTGAGTGTGTGTGTGTGTGTGTGTGTGTGTGTCTGTGTGATCAGTGTAAGCTGGAGCAGCAGGCATGTTTGTCGGGGAAGGATCTGTCCGTTCTGTGTTCTGGTTCGTGTCCTTGTATCAGTCCTGGACCTCCTAAAGCAGAACCCAAGATCACGACGAATCCAGAGACGTCACCCGAACCCAAACCAGGTCCACACACACACATTACTCCATCAGCTCTCACTGTAAACCTGCAGAATGATGTTTGGTGTCACAGCGAGTTCAGACATGCATGTTTTATGAAGCCTAGTTAGTTGAAATTTTAATGCATTTGAGTGAGTTTATTGTTCCTCTGCATTATTAATCTGCTGGCAGAAGTTAAAGAGAATCTTCTCATTATTTACTGGTGTTTCTGTCTCTCTAGAGCTCTGCACCGGTCAGGATTTGGCAGATTTGGGCGACAGACTCCGAGACTGGTTTCAGCTTCTCCACGGAAATGCAAAACAGAACAACTCTGGAAGACAAAGCACAGCGTCAGGTGAAAACACAACAGAGTTCACTGCACTGTGAAGAAGTCTCTTCTGCTCACCGAGGCTGCATTTATTTGATTAAAAAATATGAAATATTATTGCAATTTATAATAACTGATTTCTGTGTGAGTATCTATTAAACTGTAATGTATTTCTGTGATGCGCAGCTGTATTTTCAGCATCATTACTGCAGTCTTCAGTGTCACATGATCTTCAGAAATCAGTATAATATGCTGATCTGCTGCTCGAGAAACATTTCTGATTATTATCAATGTTGAAAACTTTGGAAACCTATTTCCGCCATGGAATAAAAAAATGAAAAAGGTGGCTGTGAATTACATCACAATTCTGACGAGTTAGCATCTTGCAATTATGTCTTTTGTTTTCACCAAAAATAAAAAAGGTAAAAATTTGTATCTCACAATTTTGACATTTTTTCTCAGAATTGTTAATTTAACAACAGATTTACTTGTAAATGTTTCTCTGATGTCTGGTAATAGTTAATAGTAGTTATTATCAATGTTGACATGCAGGTAAACGAAAAGAGTATTTTACAATTAGTTTTATTGTTTTTTAGTTATAAATATTTAATTAAAAAAATGTCAGACCCATTTTTAAATATTTAATTTAAAATATATGTATCTCACTATTCAGACTTTTTTTCTGAGTGTACATCTAATTGTGAGTTTATATCTTGGAATTATTAATTTTTTTCTCAGTACAAGAGAATTCAGAAAAAAGTCAGAATTGTGACAAAACCTTTTTTTATCCTGTGATGGAAACAAGCTTCTATAGTTTCATGTTTTTGTTGAAACTCTGATACATTGTATTTTTCAGGATTCACAGATGAATAGAAAGTCTAAAAGAACAGAATTTATTTGTAACATTAGAAATGTCTTTACTGTCACTTTTGATCAATTTAATGCATCCTTGCTAAATAAAAGTATTAATTTCCTTAAAAAAAAAGATCAGTTGAGTATATTATCATGTATTATCTCTCTTGAGCTTTCATAATGCATACTGTTACAATTATTATTTTTTAACTCTTTCCCCGCCAGCGTTTTTGGAAAAAGTTGCCAGCCACCGCCTGCATTTTTGCTGATTTTCACAAAAGTTTAATGGCCCCCAGAATATTTTGTTGTATGAATATATGAACATGCAATACATCAAAATAAAGATCAAAACAAAAACCCCCGTTTTATTCTAGCTTCAAGCATTGTTTTTTAATCAACACTAGAATGTAGGTAGATTTCATAAAAAAAGCATTTTTTAAGAGAAAATCGCATTTTTATCAAATACTACATCTGAATCGTATTCAGTAATATGATCAAAGATGCAGTAGAAAGCTTGCACAGTCCTTTAACACTTTCTGGATCCACATTTCACTCGCTAACATTAGGCAGTTTTCATTTATATGCGTTTAGTGTCGATGGTCGCATTATTTTTCATATGGATTTGCTTATATAGGATTTCGCTCGTTTCTGCGTCTTCCTGTCCTGTGTTTTTGATCGGCACTTTCTATCTAGACTCATTCAGGAGATGTGTAATAGCGCCTCCTAGCGTATAACAGCGAGAACACAGAATCCCGGATAATTCCGTGTTTGGCAGGGAAAGAGTTAAATTGTTGGGTTATCGCTCTGAATCTCAGTTGGTTCCTCTGCAGTGTTTGACCGGGGGCTCGTGGCCGGCTGTAAGGACTCCATCGGCTGGATGTTCTCCAGGCTGGACACCAGTAACGACCTGTTCCTGGATCAGTCCGAGCTGGCCGCCGTAAACCTGGAGAAGTATGAAGTGTGCATCAGGCCCTTCTTCAACTCGTGCGACTCGTACCGCGACGGGAAGGTTTCCACGGCAGAGTGGTGCCTGTGCTTCTGGAGAGAGAGTGAGTGTGTTGTTATTCACTGAGCTCAGATCATGAGGAATCTTGATCCTTTGATAGAAAAGTTCATTGGAAAATTACATTACAAGTGGACCACTTATATAAGTGTATAAGTGTTATATATATATTTAATATTTAATATTTAATTTAATATTTAATCCACTGTTTTTAAGTTTTTTTTACAAGTGGACCACTTATACATAAAAAAATTGCCAAGCAATGTCTAAATTAAATTAAATTAAATTGAATTGAATTTAAAATTGAATTGAATTGAATTGAATTTTTAATCCACTGTTTTTACATTTTTTTTTACAAGTGGACCACTTATACATTAAAAAATGTCTAGTAAAATAGTCTATAGTAAAATAAAATGTAATTTAATTTAATTTAATTTAATTTTTAATCCACTGTTTTTAATGTTTTTTTGTTTTTTTTACAAGTGGACCACTTGTATATAAAAAAATTGGCAAGCAATGTTTAGTAAAATAGTGTATAGTAAAATTAAATTAAATTTAATTAAATTTTTAATCCACTGTTTTTAACGTTTAAAAAAAAAAAAAAAAAATTGATTGTTTGTTTTTTATTCTTTTTTTAATGTGTAATCGTATTCAGTAATATGATCAAAGATGCAGTAGAAAGCTTGCACAGTCCTTTAACACTTTCTGGATCCACATTTCACTCGCTAACATTAGGCAGTTTTCATTTATATGCGTTTAGTGTCGATGGTCGCATTATTTTTCATATGGATTTGCTTATATAGGATTTCGCTCGTTTCTGCGTCTTCCTGTCCTGTGTTTTTGATCGGCACTTTCTATCTAGACTCATTCAGGAGATGTGTAATAGCGCCCCCTAGCGTATAACAGCGAGAACACAGAATCCCGGATAATTCCGTGTTTGGCAGGGAAAGAGTTAAATTGTTGGGTTATCGCTCTGAATCTCAGTTGGTTCCTCTGCAGTGTTTGACCGGGGGCTCGTGGCCGGCTGTAAGGACTCCATCGGCTGGATGTTCTCCAGGCTGGACACCAGTAACGACCTGTTCCTGGATCAGTCCGAGCTGGCCGCCGTAAACCTGGAGAAGTATGAAGTGTGCATCAGGCCCTTCTTTAACTCGTGCGACTCGTACCGCGACGGGAAGGTTTCCACGGCAGAGTGGTGCCTGTGCTTCTGGAGAGAGAGTGAGTGTGGCATGTGCTTTTCTTGGGAAATGATCAGCAAGATTATGTTTCAGTGCAAAAACAAATAACATAGCAAGTGGACCCCTAGGGAAAAATTAGCAAAAGCGAGAGAAAAAATATTTTAAAGAATTATTAAAAAGTATATTTTCTCAGATGGTTCTTCTGAACCATAAATTGTATCATTTTAATGTTAATATATAATTTTTTTTGTGTGTGTGTGTGATTTGAGAGATGGACTGCTGAGTCATTGATTTTTTATATAATTTTTTTCACGTATTTTTTGCAGAACCTCCATGTTTGGCTGAAATCGAGAGGATTCAGATGCAAGAGCCGTCTAAGAGGAAACCGGGTAAATGCACACAAACCAGCACAAATGCAATTACAAGAAAATGATTAAAAATGAAGCCACTTGCGGTTAAGAAAGGAAGGATATAATACGCAATATATGTGCAATGGATAGAAGATAGAAGACTTTTTTGAATACATCAAACTCATATAATCAGACTTCTATTAAATTGGAAAAAGTGTTTTTTGAATGGAAAATGGATGCAATGTATTTTCTTTGTGAGTTACAGGTGAATTCTATGGATTCTATTGTGTATAGTTGATTGATGACATCTATATGGTTAATATTAGTTAAGTAGCTAAATGAATTAATGAATAAATACATACATATATGCATACAAAAATAAATATATACAATTTAAAAAGACCAGGAACATGAATTAAGAGAGCAAATATTTTTAATTTATGTTTTAAAATGGTAAAAATTTTGTAACCATGTTAATGTTTTTGTATTAAATAAATAATGCCAGTCTTAAAAATAAATAAATAAAAATCATTAAATATAAAAAATAATTATATATAAAAAATAAATTAAATATAAATAAATACAATTAAATAAAAATTCATATTTAATAGTTTCGAAGTGGTAAACATTTTGTAACAATATTAATGTTCTTGTATTATTATAAAAAATAATGCCAGTCTTGATCGCTGTATTCATTCCCCATGTTGAACTGGCTGCAATTTTATAAATAATTAAATATAAACAAATACAGTTAAATAATTCAATAAATTAATAACAAATCAATAAACAAATAACAAAAATTATAAAGAAACTATATCACTGTAAAGTCACTTTTTAAATTTAGTTTTAATCTTGTTTAATTAGCTAAAAATAAATAAAGTATAATGAAATATAAATAAATAATAATTAAAGATTATTTTAGTTTAATATTTAAATATTTATTCAATAAATTAATAAAGGTAAATAAATATTAACACATAAATAATAATGAATAAAAACAATAAGTAAATAAAATAAAAATACCAAGAACATGAATTAAAAAAGTAAAAAGTTTAAATTTCACATAACATCACTAATACTTGTGTGCATGCGTGTTTGTGCTTGCGTGTGTGTATGTGCTTGTGTGTGTGTGCTTGCGTGTGTGTATGTGCTTGTGTGTGTGTGTGTGTGTGTGTGTGTGTGCGTGTTTGTGTGTGTGTGTGTGTGTGTGTGCGTGTGTATGTGTGTGTGTGTGTGTGTGTGTGTGTGTGTG